TGAAAGCTAAAAAACATCTTTCTGCCATGGGATGGAGCTTTTGGTACGCACCCAAGAACGGAAGACGTGAGCTGCGTTATCAATCACCTGATGGAAAAGTTTACTATTCGCTTAAAACAGCTTGTAAAAGTCAAATCGATGGAGGAGGAGGAAAAGAAGAGATTAGGGTTAAGGTTCAAGACTTGGAACCCAAGCAACCAAGAAAGAGGAAGAGTTTGAGCCAGGAAAATCAACCATTGGGTGAACTTGTTCAACCCAACCCACCAAAAAGAGGCAAGAAACTGAAAACACAAAAGAAACCTAGAAAAAATCAAACTAATCCTCATGCGCAACGATCAAGTAAAAGAGTGAGAGAGGGTCCACTTCCGAGTTCCTCTCATCGTCAACCTAGAAACATTCTCTCTTGGTTGATAGATAACAACGCGGTTTCGCCACTGGCAAAAGTGTATTACCGCAACAAGGCAGGGGATCCATTGCAGAAAGGGCGGATAACTCGTGACGGGATCCAATGTGACTGTTGTTTCAGGGTTTTTGGTCTCACCGCCTTTGAGGCACATGCTGGTAGTACCAACCATAGGCCAGCTGCTAATATAATGTTTGACGATGGCAGTGGCAGTTCTCTTTCTGATTGTCAAAGGCAAGTTCGTGATTCCATGATCAACTGTTCCAAAGCACAGAGCCCTCAAACTGTGAAGGGCAATCCATATGAATATGAGAACGATGGCGTTTGCTCTGTTTGTCGCTATGGAGGTGAATTGATTTGCTGTGATCGATGCCCTTCTGCATTCCATGTCAATTGCCTTGGCCTGAAGGAAGTTCCTGATGGCGACTGGTTTTGTCCATCCTGCTGTTGTGGAATTTGTGGCATTGGACATTTGAGTGATGATAGTTTTCTTACTTGTCAACAATGTGAGCGTAAATTTCATGTTGACTGCTTAGGGAAGAAGCAATCAAGTGACTTGAAGAATAATCAGACGGGAAAAAATCAGTTTTGCAGCCATAGCTGTGGACAAGTATTTTCTGGCCTTCAAAAGCTTACAGGAAATCCAATTCCAGTCAGAGACAATCTGACGTGGACATTATTGAAGTCTGCGGGGTGCTCTGATGGTGATACTGATCACGCTCATGGCGTCGAGGCTTCTGCAGAGAATCACAGTAAGTTGAGTGTTGCACTTGATGTGATGCATGAGTGCTTTGAGCCTAGTAAAGATGTTTACACTGGGAGAGATCTCGTTGAAGATGTGATTTTCAGCAGAGGGTCAAAGCTGAAACGAGTGAATTTCAAAGGATTCTATACGGTGATTCTGGAGGAAAATGATGATTTGGTTACTGTGGCTACTGTGAG